TCTATGTCGGAAATATAAATCTACCTATATACAGTGACTGAAACGGCTTGTACTCTGTACCAGCGTGCTTGGGCGTTAAGATTGAACGTCATACTTTCAGAGGCAGCCATAAGGCTTCAGATAATGAAACCTTAGGACCCGCTGCCGCGGCAAGAAACATCTGGAGTCTTCTATGGGATCTAGTGTAGTTGCATACAAAGCGACTACGTCGGAAAACCTGACCGACTTCTCAAGACGCGAATTGCCAAACACGGGCCAGCAGTGCGGCGAAATGATACCAATTCCCAAGTTGCGGCTCATTCGACGAGACCCAGCCACAAATTCAAATTTTATGAGGCCGAAATTCTCGCAAGAGGTAATAATCATCTGAGCCGAGAATTACTTGAGTCATGGTTCATGGTTCCCCACTCTAGAAACAAGTGCAACAACTTGCCCCATCCATAGTTGACGCTGAGGCTCAATTTGGCCAAAACAAGTGACCACTTGAGGAACGCACAGGCCACCGCGTTGTCTTACGCCAACACCGGAAACCAGATGGCCGAGCAATCATCATATCCAATTCCACCGCGCGTAATGCAAGTTTAGCAGGTCACGGCCCGCAAGCCGATCATCAAGCAATACACGCCCAAGAGGGTAATTATCGTTAGTTGTCGTTATTTGTTATACGTGTGTAGTAATTTCTGTGTCCTATAAATGTGTCAACTTCCTGTGCACTTATCACCCGTTTTTGTTACTATTTTCTGCTCATGTCTTTGATGAAGAATCCGCGACGAATGCCGAAGCGTCAGGGGAATAAAAGTGTTGTCCTAGTGATCGAATCTTCTAAATTACTTCCTGGGACTCGTATGTTCGCTTGTATTGGCATCTTATTTTAGGGTTGTTTTCTTGTAGAAATATAAAGTACTTAAAGGATAGTTAACGGTTAAGTTTAAGGATGGCCTTGTCTAAAACAGTAAAGATACATAAAGAATTAGGACTAAGGTTAATGCCAAGGTGAAGTTTGTCTGGTGCAGACTTTGCTAGCCCATTAAACCTTCTCTAACCAATAACTTTCGATTTCCTGTTTTCCGCTCGTTTATACGCCCCTAATTTGCATAGTTCACGTTGCGCGTCTCTTCCACCACCCCATTAGAGTGTGTAGACAAACCTCTGCTAGATGTGTGAGTATTCTCAGTACCTTCCGCAGACTCCGTTAATTGCCTTGCTCATTTCCCTTAATGGACACACTAATGCAATTATCCTTCCCGTTCTAAAACAGCCTCCCTGTTCTATTTTCCCAGTGGACTTGCATATTAGACCTCTATTTTAACGAGCTTTTAACAGTACTCACTGGCCTACAGTGCCCAAGTTCGAGCGCGCAGATGACAGGCTGACAACAACAAGTATGCTGGAAATGGCAATTGCAGCCTGCTAGTAATGCTACTCGACTATAACTCGTAGTTAGTCTGAATTTGTCGCCCTTGTCCCCTTTTTTTCCCTGAAATTTTCATTCACATAAACTTCACTTGATGCAGATTCTCATTTTCTTCAAAAGTTCATTTGGCTGGGCATTTGCGTAGCACTTTTGTCTTGTCATTTGAATCCTGGGGTCTGCCGGCCTAGGCCCGCAGTGGGGTTGGCTGGTGGCAGGAAGTTATTCAGGAATGATCATTCCAATTCTCTCCCTCGCCGACCGTGTGAATAGTGTCTCCAGCTATTATTACTGAAACCTCCTTGTAGGGCCACCTATGAGGGCTCTAGAATGGAGCCTCAGGACAGAGCGCAACTGGCACACTCCGTCAGGATAGATTACTGGGCCGTTGGCCTGCGATCTTCTATCCGTCTCTGTAAAATCCGCGGGGAAAATAAAGCGGACTTTTGTGCTGTTCACCGTCGGTTAACATGTCTGTTCTGTGTGCTGCAGGTGGCGACTGACGCGCTGGTAGAAATGGAACGCGCAATGAAGCGGGATAAAATAGAGGTCAATGATCGTCAGCTTGCCTGCGCCCGAATCAACTCCGTTGAGGGTCAGAACTACCTCTCAGCAATGTCTGCGGCGGCCAACTATGCCTGGGTTAATCGGTCTTCCATGACATTCCTCACACGACAGGTAGGTGTTGTTCTTCCACTTTTTACTCTTTCAGGGC